ATCAAATGACTTAGAAAAGATATTAGATCGAGTTTTTCTCATAATTCATGTGTCATAAACGAGTATCACTTACAGTCGGCTTTCAACACGACTCGATTTAAGAAGCGCCTTTCACGCCAGGTTCTAATATATTTTTTTTCTTGCAAATAAAATTGCAAAATTGTATAAATTGAATAAGTTTTGCAATAATAATAACGAAAATAATTAATAGAATTTATAATAAATAAAAAAAATAGAAAAAACACACAAATATTTTATATTATATGATTCACCAGAATAGCTTCACTTCGTGTTGTTTACGTTGTTTCTTTTGACAGGTATGAATGTTTACAAATACATATTTTCTCCACGTAACCATCTCTACATGGTCTACAAGGCAAAGCTACATATCATATAATATAAAATATTTGTGTGTTTTTTTCAATTTTTTTTATTTATTATAAATTCTATTAATTATTTTCGTTAATATTATTGCAAAACTTATTCAATTTATACAATTTTGCAATTTTATTTGCAAGAAAAAAATATATTAGAACCTGGCGTGAAAGAGATGGCGCTTCTTAAATCGAGTCGCGTTCAAATACATTGTCAATATACAACGCAAGTGATACTCGGTCATAAATGATCAACTTTTCGAGAATCTTTGTTTACAATCTCAGATTGTCAATCTGTGTATAAGATGTCATTTTCTCCAGCAAACTTATCATGTTTTTACAGCGTTTTGTTTGAAAAAAAAAACTACTTTAATATGTTACGGCCGTAATTGTACAATATATGGGCTATTTTGAAAATATTATTATAATTTTGACCGTTTCATTTCAATTTTCCGCAATAGGTTCTTCCGATAAAAATCGAGTTTGTTTATCATAGAGTCTGAAGTGTTGACACAAATAAAACATTTGTTGCTAATTCAATTTTATCGATGCAGACCATATTGTCCTTCAATTATCATTTATTCAGAAAGATAATGATCAAAGCCAACTGGTTAAAAATAAATCCAGTGCGATTGCGTCATGATGCAAATCTTTATTCGTTCCTCACGATACTTACTTGAGATTTTATTTGAACAAATGTGTTTTTTCCAAGTTTTTGTCCCTCACTTCCAGACATAGAGACAAACAAAAACCAATTTGGATTTTTATCCAAATAACCCATTGCAGAAAATTGAATTGAATCATTGCAGATTATTTGTACAGACAAAATTCTATTTCCGAAATTGTTTAATTGGATTTCAAGACAGCTATTCATTTTGAGCTACATCGCTTTCGATAAAATTTGTATAAAAGACACTGCAATCGCAGAGAAAGTTATCACATTTTCAATTTCACTTGAATCATTCAGTTGAAACAGTCAAATTCGAAATCAAAATGAAATTCTTATTATTCGTTGCACTTCTGACCGTCGGAGTTTGTGTCGCTTCTCCAAGTATATTTCTAACTATATTTTCAATTTTCGCTTTAAGAAAAAAGTATCTAATCTATATTTTTTTATACAACAAAAGGTTTACCAGTCCCAGATCTCCCAGTCCCAGATCTCCCTGTCCCAGATCTCCCAGTCCCAGATCTCCCAGTCCCAGATCTCCCAGTCCCAGATCTCCCAGTCCCAGATCTCCCAATCCCAGATGCCCCAGGTACCGCCGGTGGCGTTCAAGGTATAGCACAATAAGATATTTCATAAACTAGTAGTAGATAATTACAGCCTATGGCATAAAATGAAATAATTCAATACTCACTTTGTTGCCAAATTTATTTCAATTATTGAATTTCAAATCTATTTTTAAAAAAACTTCAATCTAAAAAGTACAACATATTTTGATGGACCTTTTTTTTGTAAATATGGTGTAGCTTGTCCCAATCCCAAATCCACAACGCCAGTCCCAACTGCTCTACTTAATGGATTGCGTAAGTATATCATTTGTTTTGATTTTAATTTTTGTTAAAATTTTCACACAATTTATTATTTTGTGATTTCAGTTTCATTAATATTAAGTGTAGTGTGCACACTTTTTGGTTTTGTGAAAGGGCTGCCAATTGGTAAATAAGTTTTTATCGGAATATTTTCAATTACTGCTTTGATTCCAAATCTTATTATATTGTAGCTGGTGGTATAGTTGGTGGTTTAGTTGATGGAGTGTGCAGCAATCTTTCAACGCTTCTTCCAACGCTTCTTGGTGAGTTATTAACTGATTTTTTCACAAGGCGGCTTAAAGTCTATTTGTTATATTTCAAAGATATTTGTGTAATGTCAAGCCAGATCATTTGGTACGTGCTTGTTGATTTCATCTGATAAAAGACGATCGAAAAATGTTTGGTGAAATCAACAAGAAAGCTATCAAATTATCAACTTCACTTGAATCGTTCAATTAAAACAGTCAAATTCGACATCAAAATGAAATTCAAGGTTTCACAAATTATGCACTTTTGGCAATAACAAAGACTCAACTGAATATGTTCCGTTTCTTCCGTGTCCATTTCAAATAAAATATTGCTTTCTTTTTTTGAACTCAATTACTAATGCAATGGATGCTGTAGGTTCAGTAGGTGCTTAACAATTAGGTTAAAAAGCAAAGAAGATCAATGGCCTCGCCAATAGCAAGAACACCGAGAATGATGACAGCAGCTTTTTGAAATTTGGCAAATTCCTTCACATTCCGTCTTTTGATTAAAAATAATAAATAAGATTATCTGGTTGCAATCAGAGCAGGTTTTTTTTCATGAATCCTTCTGATTCATTTTTTTCCGCATCTGTTCAGCCAGCTTTTGGATGTGTTTAATAAATAATTGAATAAATAAAAGTTTCGCATAATAAACAATCATGAGCAAAATCAATTTTA